CATACTAATCTTACTATAGGAAATGCTTTTCGGAGTGCCTACTTTCGTAAAAATCTATGCTGCTTTGCAGGTCATTTTCTAGATAAAGTGAATGCTCGAATTTTTCATCGTCGGGGCCTTCTATTCTCATCTCACGACCGAATTGTGATGACTAAGGCTTAGAACGAGGGGTTCAATTTTGGGGGGCCCGGCATCTACCACAACTCTCGCATAGGTGGGGTGGGCCGAGGTCGCGCCAGGCTTGCCGGCTGCCACGAGTGCTGAGAGTTTGCGCGTGGCCAGAGCTTAGAGGTAGTGGGGGAGGGCGGCGGAGGGCGCCTTGTTGGAAGCGTCGGTGTCTTGGTTTTCGTTTACGGCTCAGGTGGCTGCGGCTGCTTAATCGGCAGGGAGAGGAGGTAGGTGTGGGCAATGGCTATATAAGGCCTGCAGTTGATACGCCGGCCATCGTCATGACAGGCTTTTAGTCGGGTTCAGGACGGAAGGTCAGCGGCCTTTAGGACGCACCAGGCATATCCTTTTCCTCTCCGCCCCTAACGGTCAGGGAGAGCATCTTGGAACAGGGCGCAGGACTATCTCACTGCCATAGGAGCGGCGACGGGCATGCACAGAGATAGTAGGATGAAAACGCGCAGCGTGTAGTGTATAAACTTATATGTATAAAATAGAGGTGAAGGAGGCGGAGAAAGGAAAGCGCGATAAAAGACTGGTGATAATGAAAAATACGAGTAATAGAGTAGGAGAGAGGTTGTGTAGATAAAGAGAGAAAGGAGAAGACTGAGATAGCGTGTGATGATAGATTTACGTGATTAACAGGAGATAGAGGTAAAGTGGGACAAGGGGAAGGGGTCGTCGTTATAGAGTATAATGGGATAGCATAGCATAAGCGCTATAAGTAGGCAAGACAAATGGCCGGATGGGGTTTAAAATTTTCACGGGAGGGGCTAGAAAGGAGAGTAGGTGTGAAGGGACGAAACACACTAGAGTTGAGTATGGGATGAGGAGAAGAGAAAAAAGAGGGAAAAGCAGAACAGGTGAGGACAAAGTGCAGATGGTTTGAGAGAAATAAGAGAGAAAGGGAGGTGAGGAAAAATAGGAGAATTAAGCGGGGGAATAAGCCATTCAGGCAGGAGCTAGAGGAGGTTAAAGATATGAGGTCAAGAAAGCAGGGGAAACTTAGAGAAAAATGAATAGAGGTGTTAGAGGAAACAGGTAAGCGTAGCGGAATATTGAACGACGAGCAGACTTAGCAAGGGCAGCAAATTTAGGCAGGTAGATATAATTGAGAGTAAATATACGTGTGGGATGTGTGTGTGTGTAGCGTTGATGTGTTGTGCTGTAGTTGTGTGATCTGTGAGTAGAAGAGAGATAGCGGGAGTGAATGGATGAGATTGAGACAAGACAGGGTGGTGTTTATGTAAGTCTTAGGAATTTGGTAATCTTCGTAAAATAGACTATAAACGGTTTTAAGGTGGCGGGACATAGACCATCTATACATAAAAGGTTGTATAAGATGGAATGTGAATCAGGAACCGTATAAACTAAATTTTTTGTATTTACTCGTAAATCTATATACTAGGCGATGTAAGTACCGAGAAAGACTCGGAAAAAAAGAGGCAACATCGCATCTCACATCGACTCCTGATCAAAGGGAAACAGAACTAAGGGACAGCGCGCGAGAAATGAAGGACAGACCTCCTAGCTGCGTGGATTCCGTTCCAGTAGGAAGTCTACGCAATACAACACTGGAGGAGAGTTACGCATCGGCGCATGGTGTACGAGATTCATAAAAAAAGAGCATTAGATTGCCCGACGCCATCGAACTTCAGCAAGGCCTTGAACATGAACGACATTCCAAGCTGCATGAGACCCAGCACCAGTGCTACTAAGCCAAAAGAAGTCCATAGGCTGGCTTCGCACACACGCGTCTCTACTTGGGCGCCCAATCACGAAAACGACTCTAATTTCTTAAGTAGGCAGTTTAGAGTCGGACGGCTGGAAGCACATCAATGTTAAGCGGAAGAGAGAGGGGCTTCTTCGTAGTAATTGGTGTTATGGTTTCGCTGTGAGGCCTGGCATACGAAAGTCGACTTCCAAAACATCAACAAGATGTTCGGATGTGATTTAAGCTCATGCAAGTGCAGGGCCTTGTAGGGGCCAGTGGGGGATCAACTCCCGCCTCCGGCTTCAGATGGGTGATGGGAGTATGTTATGCTTTACCATATCCGCCTTGAACCCACTGCTCGTCTGGCTGCACAGGCAGTTGACACTAACGATCACGCACAGAACGAGCGGTTTAGTTACGACGGTCAGCTTTTAGCTATATTGCCCGTGCTTGTTGCAATAGTCGATATGATAGATATATCATTAGTTTACTACTTAGAAACGTTCTTTACTAAAATAGATTACCGTGCCTTTTTCAATTATCGATATTTCATTACGGTTACGGTACGTAGAAACGTTGATTTTACTCATATTACCGCGTGGCTTTGTTTCAATACCGATATCGATAGGATATTTTATTCGTACGTCGTACGAAAGGTCCGATTTTTACGTATATTGCCCGGTGCTTGATTTCAATATCGATATGAAATATTTCTTACGTTAGTACGTGCAAGGTATGTTTTACTCTCTATCTACTATCTCTCTTCTCTCTCTCTCTCGTGCTCCTATTATATCTATATATAATGTATATATATATATATATATAATAGAGACGAGAGAGGAGAGGAGAGAGAGAGAGAGAGAATTGTGTGGTGTGTGTATTGAAAAAGCTGAGGTTGAGATTGCGCGGATGTTGAGTGTAGTATTACATGGGCTCGGTATGGTGAGTGTGTAGTAGCAGTGGATTTCTGTGACTTGCTTAATAGTTCTTTCTATTTTCGATCTCCATTCCGAGAATTGAATTATTATAGGCAGTCACCGCTTACTAATACACGCCAGTGTGGTCGAGAAAGCAAATGTCTAAGGAGTGTCTGTTAAACAGGAGACCACATTGCGCGTCACACACCGGTCAAGGGACAACGGGTCGCCCGTGATTCTTAGTCGCTAATTAGTAGATAAAAATCAGACCGGGTATATTGCAATGCCCGGGGTTGAACTCGGGTACGAAACAAACTATACTGAGCGACTGATCAGAAGTACTGATCTATTTTGAACGGTGGTCGCTGGAACGTCGTGTTAGTAGAGCCTAGTATACTATGATATATATTCTGTCATAATCACTGTCAATGTTATGATATAACCTACCAGTTTTATTGTATTCTTGTATTTTCTCTCTGTTATTTGGGATAAATGGAACCATTGCATGGTCTATAACTTGTAATCGTAAATGTTTTGCTCTTTAGATCGAGTAGATAAATATGTTCATGTGAAGATTGACGCTGCCTGATAATACATATAGTAGACTTTCGTCGTTACGCTCCAAGAACGATTTATACAAAAGCATAAAGATAGACTTGATCCGCTAACTTTGGAGAACATGATCTACGGAAGAGAGGCATCAAATGATTATTAGTAAGGCGGAGAGGTAGACTAAGCGCTCGCACTTCGATCCACCCAACTCACTGGGTGAAGAAAGAGTGCGCCTGTATGTTTTACTGTATGAGTAAGGCAATACACATCAGCAGGAACACTCGCGAAGTTACAGAAATACAAATATTCATTTTGCAAAGATGATGGTGTATCATATTTCTCCAGGGGCTGGTTACAGAAATTGTTTTCGCTCCATTACATACTGGTTCAACTATAGACGGTTTTCCACACTGCGCCAGTTAGTCTCGCATCTGTTCTAGCATTAGTAGCTACTATGAGTACGTAATCTGTGCTGGTCGTGGGTGTCTGTCGGGTCACGCGCGATGAAAAGAATGTACTACACTTCGCTTGGCTAAATCATTAGTAGTCTCTCTTGTAAAGTGTTTTCTTACGCAATAGAATATCTTGAGGGTTATAATCTGTGCTATAATTTCGATTTCTGGTCAAGCTCGCGATAAATTCAACCGATGAATAGGCTCGGCTAGATAGAATTGTGTCAGCTCTGGTGTATAATCGTAATTTGTAGGCTCAACTCGCAGAGAACTAACGCGTCTGGAGATAAAATAAATTGGTGGAGAACCAATAGATAAATAAGGAGAGATTGGGAGTACGTTTTATTATGTAGTGAACGTAATTTATGCTCTTATTTTCTTCTAATGCGAGATGAGGTGACTTAGTGTCCAATTTATTACTAATACATTGTGGAACCGCCCGGGCTCGAGTCGAGTGTAATGCAGCGGGTCTTTGTAGCGAGGTTAGCGTTTTATTAACTAAGTGATAACGATCGGGGATGCCAGCGATTGAAATGGGGCTTGACATTTATCTTGATATTAAGGCGCATGACAGGACTTCATTCATAATTGTTAGATTGGCCCTTCTTAGTGGGTCACTGGTGTTCTTTCTGTAAAGGTGCAGAAACGAAGCGCACTACGCAAGTCCACAACTCATATAGAGTCATTAAATTTTCACCATTTTCCACAAACACATACACATAAACTATGAATTTATCTTTAGGCGGAGTTCTGATACGTGTATTGCTCACATCTTAACTATAATTTGATACTGCTGATGTAAAAAATTTTAATTAATTATGTCAGATTAATAATCCTTATGACATATTATATGCGATATACGCATAAAAATTTGATAGGAGATATTAAATTCTATTAGTTTGAATATATGTTTTATTGGGTCGGGTTTATAGAACGTTGCCTAGAGATATAGCGTGCGGATTATCCATGCTTCAGCAGACTTACAGTCTTATCAGAACCTCAGATGCTCACGACAATTTTATATAGATAATATAAACCAAATGTTATAGGTGGATATTTGCAAGTTTATGCGAGTAAGAGACTCTACGCAAATACCTTCAAAATGACTCCCTTTCGTTAAAAATTTAAATGTAATAAAAATAAGTACTTCAAATAATATGATGCGAAACAGAATATCGAAAACAAAAAAAAAAAAAAATAGCAACCAACAAAAAGTCCAAACAATTGCTCTTCAACGTTAAAACTTCACAATTCATAAAGATTGTGGGGGTAATTTCACTGGTTGAAAAAAATACTACGAGAAATACAACCTTTCAAGGTGAGCTTTCGGGAAGTGGTATTTGAGTTTAAACCAATGAGATCGCCCATTTCCATCTCAATGCCGAGTTAAACTGTTTGTGATAATTAGTTTCTGGTTCTGAATTTGATGTAGGAAGGGGTTATGAATGCGCGGAAATTGTGAACGGCGGGACAAGGGCACAAATCTTATTCGAGCAGCCTCCTTGATCATGCCGCTTTTATGCACTACATTATGAATGGTAATATAGCACAATACTGGCATTATAACGACATTGCAATAAAATTAAATTAATGACAATATTAAAATATCAGATTCTGAGATTCAAAGATTTCATAGACAACATCAATGTTCTAAAGAAATAATTATTATGCTCGCAATATTTCTTCTAATTCCACGAGTTTACCAGTGTTTCTAAGATTCAAACAAATTGAGTTCTTAGTGCACTTGGCATCTGGAGCATATTCCAAACTAACTAAATTTATTTATCAACCCATTTTTAAGTCAGTTGATACACGGCAATAGAGAAATGTCAATAATTAATAGACGTTTTCTAACATCACTGGGAATCAAGATTGCTGCCCCCCTCTACTCAATGGGCGCGTCAAGACTACATATGTAATGTGACGTAACCCTTGGTAAGCAACGTTAACATAAACGCAAGTAGACGCAGACGTAGGACAAGTTCCAACATTTTCATTCAAATTAATTAGGGGTACATTATGTGAATAACGGTAAGAGAAGTGGAATTCCTTCATATTCCTTCAGTAAAAACTTTCCACGAGATTATAGATTATTCATAAGTATTCGAGGATCTGCTATTTTAAAATATTCTCTAAAAACAAAGATAATGGATATTAAGAGGATATGGAATGATGACTTATACAGGCATTCAGAAAGTGGAAGCCAATAAAATGTGAAAGAAAAAAAGAACATTTGCAATTTATATCTGTACGTTATTTTTTCACTCAAAAATATTATTCTAATAATTCCTGTAGGCCTGCTAGAAAATATTTTCATAAAATATAGGTTTG